CCCCCTACCGCTGCCACCCTATTCCGCTCACTCCTTTCTGCTCCCATTCTGCATCTCCCGCTCCCTCCCACTCCCACCAACTCCCGCCCGCTCCCTCTCGCTCCCTCCCAATCTCCCGCCCGAGCCCGCTTCCGCCCAATCCCTCCGGCTGCCGCCCTATTCTGCTCACACCTTCCCGCTCCCTCCCGTTACCTGCAACACCCTCCCGCTCCTCCGCTCCGCTCCTTCTCAATTCCTCCGGCTCCCTTGTGCTCCCCCCGTTTCGTTCGCTCGCTTCCTCCCGCTCTCGCGCGCTCCCGGCAGCTTCCGACATCATCCGTGCCCTTCAACCGGAAAGCGATTTTCGTTCTCACCGAATTCTGGTCGTGTGTCTGACGTTTTGTCATCACGTCAATCTGGATTATTAGTCGTAGGTTGCGGAAGTTATTCTCCACACTGCGTTATTGGGTGCAGTTATAACGTATGCCTAATTTAGTATAAGGTAATTAATTTATTGTTTTCATAGTCTTTGAATCCATTAATATCATGAAATGCGCTTGGTCTCATTATTTGATGTTTGCTCTATGGCAACATATGAGGTCGTTTCGCGGGCAGATGGCTGTTTTAACACGGAGGGTTTCCTGGTCGCATTTGACGTAATATACATTGAGGTGTCAAAAGCCATGGGATGCCTCCCAAAAATCGTGTCGGATCTCCTTTTGCACAGCAAACTGCCTCAACTCGACTTGGAATAGCTTCAACAAGTCGTTGGAAGTCCCCTACAGAAATGTTGGGCCATGCTACCTCTACAGCCACCCATAATTATAAAAGTGTTGCCGGTGCAGGATTTTGTGCACAAACTGACCTGCAAAAATGTGCGATGGGATTTATGTCGGGCGATCTGGCTGGTCAAAAGGTTTGCTCGAATTGTCCTGAATGATCTTCAAAGCAATCGCGAACAATTGTGACCTGGTGACATGGTGCAGAGCAGTCAGCCGCTAGAATTCTCTTTGAGACTGCGGTTGAACTCGACCCAACAATCTTACTAGCGTTCACAATCCTGCCACAGCGTCGAAAATTCTTCCACAATCGGGACTCGCACTCTAGATCTTTCCGATCATA